GCATGCCAGGCTAAACCATAGCTGTATTAAAAATTTTAAGAATGCAGTTCTTATTTCCCTTTTTATATGGATTCACATGTTCCCTGTGTGTGTTCATTCTGGCTGTGCTCAGATTGTCCTGAGCGAGGACCCATGCATGGGTGTGTGCACACGTCTGTGCAGAATCTGACAGCTCACAGCTTTGCCATACATTTGAGAATGTTAATAAAATGTTAATAAAAATGCTGAAAGATGGCATGATAATGTTTTGCCAAGTTTGCTTCTAAATGCAATTCACAGGAGACACAATCCAGCATGAGCAGATGTCTCCAAAAGAAAGAAGATATGAATGCAATCTACAGATTAAATAGCTAATAGTTGGAAATAAACACATCTTGTGCAATATTTGTATCTCGTATGTTTTAGGTCATTCAAATAGCATGCAAAGGGCATAGTGGTACTGAAAAATAGTACATAACATCAGAGTAAGAATAAATGGAAATTAATTAAATTAATATTATTTAATGAAACATATTAAAAACTCCTAAAGGGCCCTGTAGAAAACTTTATCCATATAAAAAATATTCTCAAGTAAGGTGTCAGAAATTAGAGACTTGTGGAACTTCTATAAATTATTTGGTATCAGATATTTAAAAAAAAAAACAACCCTAAGTATTTTGCTGACAGAATTCTAATACTGATTTTCCCATAAGTTCTAAGGCTAAAACACAGCATATAAGTAAACCAGGATAGCTGAAAAGACCATGAATTGGACAGCTTATTGTTTTACACGCATTAAAAATTGATCAAACTGCTTTCATGGTTTCTTTATCAGGGTATTCATCATGCAACTTTCACTTTGTCCATGGGATTAGTCTCAGTGGAGCCAAATGAAGCGGCCCACATCATTTTTTTTCACATGTGACCTCCCAGACATCTGACCTCTCTCTGTTTTCCTTGTAGTGACTTGTAGTGATGTTGTACCTATTCCTAAATTGCTTCAGCAAAGGCCAGTCCTTAAATAATTAGAAACAGGTAAATTAGGAGACCCTGAGAAATACCTACAATCATCAGTGATTCTAAGATAATTTGTCATTAGTTTGTTCTTTGTAGGTTATTTCAGAAATACTTTTCTTTGTAACAATATTCACTAGCTAATCATTTCAATACATGCTGTTGCTACAGTTCTGGGGCAAAATAGATCATCTTTGGATGTGTAAAGTACAAGGCTTTTGAGTAGAAAGAGGGCTTTCACATCTCAAAGTGAAGAAAACAGGTTTATTTATCACCCTGTTGCTGCAGTCTCATCTACCGTGTCTTAGAGTGATCATGACAAACAAAAGTGCAAATTTTAGTACTACATGTCATGATTGTAAATAATCCTGGTGTCTGCATGAGTCATTTAGGAGTCCATCAAATCATTTAACAATGGAGATGTCAAAAGATGCAGCTTTGACAGCATCTCTTTTCAATTATGTTCATACAAATATTGTTTGGCAGAACTGTACACCTAACTGATCCCACAGCTCAGGAGCCACATTTGTTTACACAAACTCAAGGCCACCTATTAATAACTTGCTGCATTTTGTACTTTGCTTCAGAGCAGAAGCACTATTTAAAATATAGATAATATTTTCAAAATGCTTGTAAAAGAACCCTCAGTTTAAAATCTGCCCTGGAGAAGTATTGCTAGGCAGCAGCATGGTCACAACAAGAGATTTTTGCACATCCTTCCACACCCTCAGAAAATTTAACAGAATCAGGTACCCAGTCTGTGAAAGGAGCAATATGAAACACTCCCTTGACTTGCATGCAATGACACCAACCTAAAAAACACAGTTATGTTTGTTCTCAAGAGTTCTCCCTTGTGTTCAAAAATTCAATGTACATGTCAGTAGTGTGTGTCTGGACTCTTCTCCGTATGAAGCTGATGTAAAACTGTCACCTATAGAGAATGTCAGCATAAATAATACAGCCACTAATGAGAGGGTGATCTAGAGGCCATGAGATATAATAATGTGCCCCACAAGGGGAAGCCTCTGCACTATGTTAATGTTGCACTAGAGTAAGATAAATAAAAATGAAAATGGCTTATAAACTTTGTTGACCTGGAAGGTGTAAAAAAAAATATTTAATTTTCAGAGAAAACTAATGTTCTATTTCTGCAAACATCTCCTCATGCAGATATTCAAGTGGAGTAATTATTGTCTTCAGCGGGATTACTCCCATCCAAACAATTATAACTAATTTAGTTCTGACAAGATCAGGAACAATACTGGAAAGATCTCAGATTGCTATGCAGGAAGTAAAAAATAATACAAGCAAATTCAGATAATTATAGCAGCAGCTAGGAAACTGCAAAACAAGATTTAGACACAACAAAACCAACCAAATAAAAAATAGTCTAACATAGGAAGAATAAGAAAGCCTAGCATCTAGATATCCACCAAAGCCTTAAATGAAATATCTGAAAAGTCTTTATGCATGTATCTTAATATGACAGCAAAACAGGCTAACATATTTCAGGACTTCAAATCTTGCTGGAGCAAAGAAAAAGCTTTCCCTAAGGTTCTTTTATAGTTATTTTAGAGATACCATTCTTGTCAGAAATAAAGGGACAAAAAGGCATGAGGAGGGGAAAAAAAAAAAAAAAAAAAAAAAAAAAAAGGAGAACTGGTTTATGAGGAGAAATTATATCTTCTGGTTGGCAGATATCATACAGGACTTTTTTTAAGTGATGACTCAGCAGAATATGGCCATAATGTAAACATCAAGACAGCAGATTTTTTACTTAAAGTGGTTCAAGTGGACAGAGCTAGGAGTACCAGGAGGGGAAAGGGGAAAGAAATTATGTAGATTAACAAGAGCATTTCTGGCACTGAATAATGTAAAACTGTACAAAGATGAAGGTCAAAAGTCTCTCAGCTTTAAGACATTGAGATTAAGTGGGATGAAGATGCAATAAACTGCAGGATGGACATCCTGGTGACTGCCTGGAACTTCACAACACTGCAGTGATTTGTCATGGCAATGGCACAAACCTTACTCACCCTGTCACCATGGCATTAATAATACACTCAAAATAACTTACAATGTCCATGAGAAATTAAATTGGTGACTTTTGTTTTCTGGATTGTAGTATAATGAAGATAATTTATTAATTTTTTGGTAGAAATGTGCATTCATCAAGGCTGTAGAAGGAAAAGCTATCAAAAGAGCCATATGACTGTATAAAAGACACACTGCAAAAGCAATTTCAAGGAAGTGACCTAATGGTGACAGCACTGAGAGAAGTTTTCTCTAAATCTGGGATTTATTATTGTTTCACTGAAACCTAGGACACCCTAGGACATAGTGATAGGTCTTAGCAGACACAGCAGACACATGAAATGATACAAAAATGAAGTTATATAGTAACACTGCACATTTTCTATTCTTACATTTTTTATTTTGCTGGTCCTTAAATCCCTGATACATTACTGACTTTTTGGAAAAAGTAGAGATTTCTTAGCATAACTAATCCATTCTTCCAAGCTTGTTTTGCTGCTGACACCATTTCTACAGTTTTAGCTCTTTAATTCAGTGGCACTGATGCTCTTTTTCCGATATCGGTAATCAGTGGAAATTGATTACAGCCTCAGCAGTGACAGGCAGGCTTACCCTTGGCACAGGCCTACCATGGGAAAAAATACAAACAATCAAACAAAAAAGGGAATTAAAAAAAAATAAATAAAACAACAACAAACCAAGAGGTGTGATATGGAAAATAATGGTTGATGATGGAAGAGATGAAGGAAGGACAACAAAGCAGGGAAAGGACCAGAAGTGAATAATGAACAGAGAGAGCCTGGTGAGAGGCTAGAGACCTAGTAAGAGTAACAGAGCTAGACTAAGTAGTCTAGAAAGTAAGATGGTTGAGAAGAAAGTGACAGCAGATCCTTTAAGAAGAGTAGAAGACAAACCCATCAGCTCAAATTAAGCACAAAAACATAAGCAGTGTAAAATAAACCATAAACAGAAGTGTGAGAGAACATTGCAAAATGGGGACTAGTCAAGTGAAAGCAGAGAAACAAATTCAGATAGTAGGTAAAAATTCTGGCAGTTGTTGGCAGCTATGGCTTTCTTTGCAGAAGTTGCTTGTTCTCTCAGGCAATGTAATTCCACTAAGGAATGCTTCCTCAAACCATCTGCAGAGCTCACCGATAATTCTTGGTGCTTAGTTAGCACCAATCTAGGAAGGCTCAGTTAGGTTCCAGCAACTTCAAGATAATCTGGTCTAGGATATGCTCAATAATTACCTCTTTAATAATACTGACTTTATAAAAGTTGTTCAAGCCCCATAACACTGGCGCAGAAAAGTTCTTCAGAAAATGTGTCAAAGCAATGAGCTCTCATTAAAAAGAGAAATGCATTATGCCTGCAGGACAGAATAGGGCTTCATGCAAATTTACATCAGGAACTGTATGTCTCAACAAACTGTCATATTTCCATACTAAAAGTAGGTTATCAGTATTAAAAGAACTGTGTGTAAATCTAGCTGAGGAGCAAAGAATTATGAGATTTGATCTAAGTTTTGTTGAGCAGAATATTATAAACACTGTAAAAAGTAGAAGAGATCTCAAAATTAAATCTAGTAATTATATTTAATATAAATTTAGTTCAGTACATAGCATCTCTGTTAAATGTAAGTAAGAAATTTAAATAAAATGCACATTTGCTATAAAAACCTGTTAATATCACTATAAAAATATAAAATTTAATATCTAATTTAATTATAGTCTATAGTCTAAATAATAAATTTTAAAAATCAAAATTCAAAGAACCCTCTTCAGAAGAGAATTATTTTTTAGAGTTATGCATCAATATTAAATACAGTCTTACCAACTTTGGATTTGATGGTGAATATGATAACTGAAAAGGTTTTTAAATTGAGGAAGAGAATATGAATAGTCCAAAAATTAGAATTATGTTACATGCCTCTAAGTATAAATGCTATTTCTCCCTAAAGGTAGAACACTTACAGGTTTTCGAGTTGGGGTGACTTGAACAGAATGGTAAAATTCTGGTTGGACTCGGCTGCTTTTCTTGATTTTTCTTTTTCTTACAGCAGTTTCCTGCTCACTGAGGTGGTGAGCTTCCACTATGGGTTGTGTTTCCTCCAGGCGAGGTGTCACTCGTCTTCTGGCATGGCGAGGGCTTGATCTAAAGCCCTGTAAGAGAAAATGGAATCATCGTGTTTGGCATCTCCCAAAATGGAGCTGTGTCACAACTACAAAATCTTAACAACTCAAGGTACAGGCATGCTCACCTTAAATTAATATAATGTCCATTTATACTGCCTGTAGCAATAAAGAGATGTTGCCAAGTGCTGTTAATATCATATCTGATTTATGTTGCTCAATTGTATGTATGATAGACACAGTCAATAGCAGTAACTCCTGTTGATTTTCTTTATAAGCTCACACTTTTAGTTATTTATAACTATAAAAGTTCTAATTTAAAATTTATAATTAAAAATTTCCAGGTTAATTCTTGGCCTCATGAGAAATTGTTTTAGGGAGCATGGGCTGAAAACATGGACCTTTTCCTGAGAACGAAAGTGAAGAAAAATTGATAGGAGGCAACAATTATATTGTCTCAGAAATACAGGTATAATTGGCCAAATTAATAAACTCAGGAAAAGCTGCCTTCAGAGATGCTTTTTAGAGGATTTCTGGGAAAACCTCTGAGCATCATCCAGAATGGCTCATGGTCTTACAGAATTTCATTCCTTTAATGGCAACATGGATAATGCTATCCTTTTATTGCTACCTGCAGAGCATTTACAGTGAGCATTCTCTCATTTCACCGAGTCCCCTCATGAGCATGCACAAGTCTGACAAGGGCCATTTGTACTGAATACAATGTTGGTTGATATTAAACTTGGCCAGGTTGTAAATATTCATTCACTTAGTCATATCAGCTTTCAGAATAGGTGAGCCAGACCTTAGTGACAGTCTGGAGTTTAAGAACTATATTTCTTTTCAAAACCAAGAATACATGCAACAATTTCTGATTTTCTACTTTCTTTTTTCTTCTAGTAGAATACTTGCTGAAGTCCTTATGCAACAAAGTCAGCATTTTAGAATCAAACTTCTGCGAGGTTAGATTTCAGATAAAACTGCAGAAATCTATGCTGCAAATCTAAATATCCTGAATTCCTGCCAGCAGAAAACCAGTGGGAGCAGTACATTTCCATATAAATCTGCTGTTCTTTTGCTACCCCCTTCCATTAGCTTTTGGGTTTTGTGATTTGTTTTTCATTTTTTGTTGTTGTTTTAATTAGGAAATCGGCACAGAAGAGTTGTGCTAAAATGCTGTTATGTTGGTAAATTGAAACAATCAAAAGTATGGCTCTGTGAAAACTGGATTTCCTCCACTAATGTTCATGAGACTGTAAGGGAAAACAGTATCTGTCCTGGACACTCAGATGGACAAACAGCTATCTTCATTATTTAAATGTTTTCCACATGAAGTAAATATACACTTAAATAGCCAAAAGACACAAACACACATTTACACACACATGCTAGTAATTGCTATAGATACACATTGCATGCAACAGATGATGTAAAAAGGTTGAAGTGGAAAGGTGAAGTAACTTTCAAGGAACAACCTTCTGCACATGAACACTGGAGAGAAGGGATAGAGATAGAGCCCAAGTCTGCTTAGTCTGGGAGGTTCATGTGTGCAGTGCATCAGGGCCGTGCAATACATATGATGCAAAGGTACAGCCAATATTTCCTGAATCATTTTTTAGGATCTCTCTGACTCTACTGAAGCAATGGAATCATTCAGAGTTGAGGTAAGGAAGACCCTGGCAGCCCATGTCTGAATGGAAGCAGGACCCTGCCCGTATCAGCCAAAGCAAGCAGTACAGTGGAAGCCACTGCAGCCAGCAGATCTACGCAGATTTAGGAGGATCTCCAAACATGCAAAGATGTGAATCTGAGACTCTGCCACACTATTGCAGCAGGAAAGCTTATTGCCCCTTTTTTTTTATGCACTGTGAAATAGCTAACATATACTTACAACGTATCATTCAACATGATACTAAGGACTAGTCGGGATAAGAGGGAAAAATGCAATTCAGGGAGCCTGCTACAGCATGGCTTACTGCTCGTGGAAATTTTCTTTTAGGAAAAAATGCCAGTGTGCACCGGGGATTATTCCACAGCAAGTGAAAATATTCCTTAAGAGATCAAAACACCCAGCAAATCTATTCCAAGTTCTGAAACCAGAATAGATTTTCTAAATGTTAAATGCATTATGGTTTATTTATGTGAGGGTCACTGGCCAAAGCCTTGTGATATACCCTGCACTGCTCCCTCGCCACACTCCCATCCCATTAGCTGGATAAAACTCTTCGGGAAAGTATGTTTATGTAACAGAAGAATTTGATAGAAGCTAAGCAGCTCTAAAAGTGCTTAGAAACACATGCCAAATAGGGATTTAAATATGTGGGTCTGTCTCACCAAGTGGCTTCACCTTGAAAAATATGACTAGGTTTATTGATTATTATGTTTCAATATGAAAAATTCACTTGTGATTTCCAGAAAAATCTGTTTATTGACAATATTTCACCTTGATATTGTCTGTATTTTTTCACTTTTGCTCTTTATTACTAGCAAGAAAATGGGATCTTTATCTCTTTAAGAGCTCATCCGCTTCTGTTTGCTGAGGCTCATTCTCCTCTTGAAGTCATAATCTGCCTGCAGTATCACAAATTGTTGCTGTGAGGAGGATTATAATGTGATAAAGGCGGAGGATCACGATTTCAGGTGGAAAATAAATTCTGTGTCTACAAAGATAATGTTACAAGGGCAGAGTCCTCAGACCAAATCCCAAAATGCTTACTCATTCCTGCAATGGGACTTTGCCAGAGCAAATGTTCAAATCCAGAAAATTTCAAAATTTGATAATCAAAAATGAAGATAAGAGTTAAAAGTGATGTAAAATATGGAAGCTACTACTCCTATGCTCAGTGCAAAATTAGGGTGCCTGGTGATTCCTTCTAAACGGTAAAATGAATAGAAGCTTTTTGGGTCATCTGTGTTATTTATCCCTCAGTATAGTCTAGAATTAAAAACATCATATTAATACAGCAATCAAAATAAAAACCATGGAAATCACACAAATACTTGTTTGGTAAAGACAGCACTATTTTAGATGAGCAGAAAAGGGTTACAAAATGCTCAGGGAAGCACAGTACACCACCTGAGACCAAATCACAGACGAAAAGCTGGAGATTTTAAAATCACAGGGATATGACAACGAGGTTGCTCTAACACCATTAAGCAATTTGTAGTTTCCAGTATCATATGAATGCTGTGTCACTGTGCAATGAAAACCTTGTCTTGTTCTTTGTGCTGGGGGGGAGTTGCTCATTCCCAGAACCTACTGCCTGACTCATTTTTGTGCCTGTAAAATTCTGAAACTAGGCAAACCAAACAAAACTTCCAACATGTATTTTTAGAAAACCTGTCTTCCAAATACCAAAAGAGCTGCACAAAGATTTACACTAAAGTAATCTTCCTTAAAGAAACAACTCATATGACCATCAGAACCAGTTTTAGACATATCAGAGGAAGACACGAGGCCAATTGAACCTGGAATTATCTTCTCTGCAAAAGCATTCATGTGCATTCTTCCAGTTAGAGTCTGTTGGAATCCAGAAAGAACGATCTTCCTAATCAAAGTCTACAGCAAACAGGAGTGGAGTGCTGTCTCTGGAGGCTGTTGCAGAGCCAAAGGCTAGTTCACCTGGTCTCAAGTGAGCTTTTCTGTATGAGGAAGCAGGCTGGGGAGACCAGTCTTTTTTAGTGGAAATTCATCCTTTTAAATCTTCTGAGTGTTGGGGGGGTTTGGTTTGTGGGTTTTTTTGGTTGGTTGGTTGGTTTTTTGGTTGTTTGTCATTGTTGGTTCTTCTGTTTTTTTTCCTCTTGAATGGGGTGTGATAATATTGAAAGAACTTATTTTGTCTGTCTTTATATACAAATTAATGATGAATGTTGCCAGCCTGGTCATGGATGCCAGAGCACACTATGTAAAATTACTTTCACAATAAGGTGCTCTGTAGAAAATATCTTATCCAGCCAAGTTTTAACTTCACCCCTCTGATTCAGTGACTAATTTCTTGTCTATAGAAACATGTGTGGGTTTTCTCTGGCCAAAGTTCAGCAGACATCCCCTCCCCAGGTTACCCTTTGAGCCACCAAAACCAGCAGATGAGATTAACCACTCCCTCACAGCACCTGTTTCTCTCCATTGGCCATACCCAGAGCCAGACTGATCACTTCACTCACACACATGCATACTGTGAGTATCCAAATTAAATAGGATGGAACAGGCCCATGGTGGCTAGGTTTTGGTCTGCCTCCAATCTGGTATTCATCATTCCATATTTTATCACCAGACTTCCTTTTATTTTTCTCCTTCTACATGAAATTATTCTGGTCTCTTCCATCACTTTTTTTTTTTTCCTGTGAGAGTTTCACATTTCCTCATTCACGGATATCACTCTCGATGGATTCCCATAATTCAGTACAGTACTCTTATAAATTTTAATACGGATATATATAACAGTAGCACATGTTTTTATATTCTGTTTAAACATTTCCCTCCCCATCTCCTTTCCAGTGAGTCTACACATCTGAAAGTAGTCCTCACTGAACCGTTAAAAGTCATTCAAAAGACCCTTTCTGAAGATCATAAACATTAAGAATGTGGCTAAAGACTTTTCTCTGTAATATACTCAACCTTTCATTGGTTAACAACATAATTTGGCCCATTTCTTCAATATAGTCTGGTATTTGATTACCAAATATGTTATACTCTGCTATCTTTGTTGTGTTTTTCCTTATTCTCATTCCTAATCCATTCGTCATAAAAATGGGAATTTGAAATATCCTTAAAAACTTGTCTAGCTTTTGCTTTTATTTAAATAACAAAATATTTATTATTAAATAAAAAAAATCTGTAAAATAATATTTTACAGATAAGAACATGTTGAATAATGTATTGAACTTTTTCTTTCACTGTCTTAGTTTTTCTGTATTTATTTTTAATTCTTTGTCTGGTACTTTATTAGCACCAGATGAATACATCAGTGCTACCCCATGTGCATTATTGCTTTAGTGATACAAATCTCTGACTCTTCCATTCTTTCAATGTGCTATTGTATTAATTCACCAGATCCTTCTCCTCTCCATTTTAGTTTCTACTAGGCTACTGCCTTCATCATACGTTATCTTTATTTTTATGCTTGATAAGAAGCCATATTCAGTTTTCATTTTTTCCAGTGTATAAGTATTTTATGTAGAATACATTGGTTGTCAGAATTCTGATGTTGGAACCCAGCCTTTCCAGCCAGTGTGGGTTTTTAGAGTCAGTAAGCATTAACATCCATAGAGGTAAAAGGGCATTATCTGACATCCAGCTGAAGTCAACAAAAATCTTTGCATTAACTTCAGTGGGCACTGGACTGCAGCCCAGCTTACCTTCTGGCAGAACTTCAGTAAATCACAGAGAAAGTGCTAGCTAGCATTAGGCCATAATTCAGTGACAGCAGAACTCAAGTTCTGCTTTAAAGGCCTTTACTCAAAGATATTTGAGTAATTCCTGTAGATGAAGGTGCACCAAAAAATATCAAAGCCAGAAGAAGCTTAGATAGGATAGCGAGATTTGTGTTCTAGCTTTTAAGGCTTCTGACAGTGGTTGTATGTGCATGAGACTTGTCATCTGTTACCAGTGTCAACTAATGGCGTCAAGAAATAGTCTTCATATTGTCAGTTACCACCTGTTTAAATCTTGGAAACTTTCATGTCTACGCAACCCACAGCATCTAAGGGCCTGCAGACATTACTATGTGTAGCATCAAACCCTTCTCAAGATGCTGGCATTCTCAGCTGTTCTACAGATAGGCTGAAATATAATTAAACCCTATAGCTGGAGTACCTCCTTCAACTAAAATGGCTAAAAGGTTTACATTAAATTACTTTATTATATGAAATTCCCCTGCACACTGAAAGACAAAAATTTGAGATTCTTTCTGCTACATGGAAAAACATATATGTGTGTGTGTATATATATGCACATATCTATGCATCTGAATTGTTAAAACAATTGTTCTAAATTAAATTGTGGCCAAGATTGCATTATTTCCCTCCTTCCTTTTCCATAGAGATTTCCATCCCAAATATCATCAGTTTACAAAGAACCAAAGAAAACCCCACAGCATTTATTTAACTGCCAGTTCTGTAAGTTCCACCCAAAATCCAAGATTCCAGCTAAGTTCTCTGAGATATTTATAGCAAAGATTTCTAAGTAATGTAACATGTAAGTTTTCTATCACAGGAAGATTACCTACACTCCCTGAGTGTATTACTTCACTAACACCCAAGGAGGATGCAACTGTATTTGCTCTATTTCGATTCTATCAGAACTAAAAAAAATAGACTGCAACCTTTTTTTTGTGTGGTTTTCTTGATAATTTTTTATAATCTTAAAAAGGGTTACTCCTATAAAGATCTGAATCAGGATTTAAAACATAAAATACAAGATTTTACATTCAATTTCTCATTCCACTCCCTCATCAGCAAGCTTTCACTGATGCTTCTTTGCATGCCTTATGTTTATTTTAGGAGATATTATTCTTATCTTATAAAATCTAAACTCTAAGCAGTGCTGGAACCATTTCTCAGATATTGAAGACTGTGATTTGGCACATGCAATATTCCAAGATAAGTCCACACGTTCAAAGGCATTTAAAGCAATCGCTTTTTACATAACCTGAACAAGATTACTTTCCCAACTGAATTCATGAAATAGAACATCAATAATCTGCTTTCCAGTTCTTAACCAGCCACCCACCATGTAAATACATAGGGGCCCCTGTATTGAGGTATTTAGGTGCCCCTAGGTTTAAGTGTGAATTTAGAATACAAGGTCTAATAACCCATGCTAAATGACACTGCTGTTTAACATGACACGTTTGGTTTTTCCTATCATAAGGTCAGGATTTCTATCAAAGCGCAGGTAAATTGTAACATTAGGAAAATCTGATGATCTGCAACCCCAAATGGCACACCCAGTCATGCCTTCAGATACTTTTTAACTGCTCTTTCCTGACTAAAGCTGTCAGCCACAGAGCCTGTTCTCCAAGCAGCCCTATCGTTCTCTGACAAGAAGGCTTACAGCTCTCCACTGCATCTTTGCGATAGCTTGTCCTAGTTCCTTCCCTGTTACCTCAGGGCACTGCAAGCCTCCCTAGGAAGGGAACAATCATTTAAGAACAAAAAAATCAGTGTACTTCTTTATCAGTGGGGTCTGCAAAGGAAGGTTTAATTTAAAATATACTAGCACATTCCCCTAGCATGTCCCCTTTCCAGTCCTGCTTCCTCTGTTTTCCATCTCTTCATGTCTCCTCATCTTGGGCAGTGTCCAGTATATACCAAAGACTTGCCAGAAAAAATTAGCTTTAAATATTAAAAATACAGTAAGAAGCTGAATAAGAAATAACAGAGATTGCTAAACCATAGCAGTGATGCAAAACATCTAATACGAAGAGATTACTCTCTTTTGTCCAGTGTGTTTGTTTGAAACACAAACTGGTAAGAGAATATATCCACCACAGCTTGTTTAGATGTGTCTGTACCTTTTAAATGATAAAATACATGCATAACTGATGAGAGACTTCACAGGAATATATTATAAAAACACAACTAGGCTAGAATTCAGGTATCTATTAAGATAACTGGATTCAGATACCAACAACATACCTGAACAACTCTTTGTTCCCTGTTATCACCAATAAAAAATGTAGTTGACACATTCAGTGAGGCTTGAAGAACCATTCAGCACATCCTGAAGCAGACATCAACACTAGGTCAGTGAGCAGTTCTATAGACTATAATCTGTAAATACCTACAGTGAGCTTGTTGGGCTGCATAAGGGGATGCTGTTTTTACAGACTCACTTTTCAGCTCCTACCTTCACATGAAGGAAGGTAGTGGAGGCAGATCAAAAGAGATCTTGGTTGTATCATTTTGTTCTTTCTAGAACAAGGAAGAAGGATAAATACAATACCTCAGCCTGACACGATTATTTATTTCAGTATAATTTGTGCTATCAATGTATATAATCATCAATTAAGCCTGTAGGATCTGTGTTTCACTTCCAGTCTGCTCTACTATCTCCCCACCATCCTGAAGCAGAGTGCCATATTTAAACAGCTGAGTGGACAGGGGAGATAATGACAATGGCACAACTTGCAAGAAAAGTGTCTTTGCCCAAACATCAAGTGCAGTTAGTTTCTGTAGCTGATACGGTGTTTTCACACTTCAGCCAGAGCTCATGTTTCATTCCCACTGATGAGTCAGGAACAGCAAAGCTCTGACTCTCCTTGGTGCAAGGCAGTAGGGCACAAGGGAGCCCAGCAGGGGCTCGGGCACTTTGGGTACAAGTATCCAGATAACAAGTACCCAGCCTCGCTGCTGAACCAGAAGCACGAGGAACAAGCTCAAAACCAAGGCAGCTTTGCCAACACTAAGCCAGGATCAGCTGTCTGCACTGTGAGCCTGACATGCTAAAGCATCTCTGCCACACAGTGCGGGTCCTTTCCCTGGGAGGCTGCAGGATTCCACGTGCCACTCTCCAGAGCCCGAGACCCCTCCAGGCTGCAGAGCACGTGGAGCAGCAGGGTGAGCGGCTGCAGCTCTGCCTGGTGTCCTCTCATGTCTGTCATGGCCAGGCCCCAAAAAGCCAGCTCAGCTGAATCAGATCCAGCATGAAAACATCAAGGTCACTTCACCCTGTGCTCTGCACATTATTCCATAGCATATCAAAGGTGTCTCTACTTAAAACAGTCTGGGAATGGAAGAGAGTGTGAGTGAGGTTTCCATGCCCAAGGAAAACACGCGTAACAGCCCTGGAGCAGCCACAACACCAAGGGTCATACTACCCTGTTCATGCAGTCCCTTCTTACATTCAATACCCTCAGTCTAAAGAGCTAAATTGTTTCTGAAGGAAGATCCACAACCTGATCTGTCACCCAATCTAACTACAATAACTGAGAAATCAGTGCAGATGATTAAGCCTTTCTGAGTAGTGTGTCATCTATGGAGCCCTGCATGATCCTTTCTGTCTGTGTAAGAACAGTTTCTACAGTGTGGTAATACATGTGCTCACTGCAAGTATGACCTCAGCTATTTTAATTCACAGTTTCAGTCTGAGGTTTGTTTAGGGCAAAAGACAGTAGCTAGAAGTTCCTGTTCTGTACATGTGTACAATGTGCCTGTTAACAGGCAGATGGCCACAAGCTGTGCTCCCCCTGTGTCCCCTTGAAATCAGGGTTCTGCTTGTGTGTACAGAGAGTGTGCACAGGGCACACAGCACAAATGAACTGCTGCTCATCTAAAACCCACAATTCCAGAGACAGCAGTAGATACTGAGAAATGTGGATATCTAAATACTCACATGATTGCCATGAGGTTGTTGGCAAGAGTGTATATTAATGGCAAACTAAAGAGTAAGAACTTTTATGAGGTAGTGTATCTTTATGCAGTGGTTTTCCCGGTCCTGCTAGAGAACTATGAGGATGTGTTCACTTATAAAGCAGGTCCCAGGACCATGCCTGACCACTGATGTGGACCATAACACAATGTCAGTACTTTCTTAGGTGATTGGTGAAGCTCAGAGGCAATTCCCTCGGCATTTCAAAGTTCTGCAGACCATCAGAATCCAGAGCAGAGATGCAGACAACCAGAAGGCTATATAAATACATCAGGCATTTGTACACATTGTAGTACAGAGTAAAAGTCCCCAAGTTAGCTTCTCTGGAGTTAGTTTAGCCCAGCACTCGAGCAGTCTGGCTGCAGCAAGTGGACAAATGCCACGTATTTGGTGATACAGCTGCAGAACAGGCTGTTCCTCAGCACAGACCAATGCTTATGGGCTGTCTAAAGGCAGCACTGCTGTGACTAAAGCTGACAAAGAGTGATGGACATATAACATATTGTAAATCAAATCTCAGTGATACCTACTTTGCCATGTGACAGCCCATGTGGCACTCTCTGTCTGGGCCACATTATTTGATATGTTATGAAAAATGGACAGAACGGTTTGTCCTTATACAGTGTAACCTGTATTTATAGCTCTCCATTCATTCCTATATGTAAGTGCTCTCATACAGCTAAGAAAACAATTTATTTTTTCTCAGATGTATTTTCCTTTGAACCTGTTCCTTAACTCTTAGACAGCTAATGGAAAAATAGTTTAAACATCCTGAGGGAAATCATGTCAAACACAAAGGTAAAATATTCTCAGGCTGATTCAACTCTGTAAAAACAATAAAACATCCTTTCAATAGGTTAATGAATGTATTTTTCTGGCTAGTCCTGCACATTTGTGGTGCTCGATGGATAAACTCCCTCCGATCAAACAGAAGACTCAAATTTAGCTTGGAGGGTCTGCTGATTTCTCCTTTCACTGGAGCTGTACCTATCTGGAGCAGTTTATAAATACTGCAATGCTCAGGATGAATTATGGTGCAACTCTTCAAAGACTATTCATTATTGTTTTGTAAGATAACTAGAATCTGTATTTTTAGACAACTGTCTCACAATCAGCCTCAGAAGGGGCATGATTATGGCAAAGGTGCACTTAGGGATAAGTTTATGGAAAATTTTCTGGGCATCTGTGTTGACAAAGTAATATATAGATTTCCCAATATACATTGTTGTTCTATAGCTTTGCACCCATTGTACCATAACAGATGATTTAAAAAATCCATTTCCTTTTAAAAAAGTAACATCAGTCTTGAATGAACTATATCACTACCCATGTAGTCACTACAAAACAGAATCACAGAATGACTAGTTTGAAAGAGACTTTCAAGATCATTGAGTCCAACCCATGCCCCAACACCTCAACTAAACCATGGCACCGAGTGCCATGTCCAGTCTTTTTTTAAACACATCCAGGGATGGTGACTCCACCACCCCCCTGGCAGACAATTCCACTACTTTATTAATCTTTCCGTGAAAAACTTTTTCCTAATATCCAACCTATATTTCCCTTGGCGCAGGTTAAGGCTGTGTCCTCTGGTTCTGTCAGTTGCTGCCTGGAGACAGAGACCAACCCCGCCTGACTACAGCCACCTTTCAGGGAGTTGTAGAGTGACAAGGTCTCCTTTTCTCCGGGCTAAACACCCCCAGCTCCCTCAGTTGTTCCTCACAGGGTTTGTGTTCCAAGCCCCTCACCAGCCTTGCTCCCTCCTCTGGATGTGCTCAAGCGTCTCAAGGTCCTTCCCAAACTGAGGGGCGAGAACTGGACACAGCACTGTGGTCTCACCAGTGCCAAGTGCAGGGAGAGAATGACCTCCCTGCTCCTGCTGGCCACACCATTCCTGATATAGGCCAGGATGCCCTTGGCATTCTTGGCCACCAGGGCCACCACACTGCTGGCTCGTGTTCAGTTGGCTGTTGGGCAGCACCCCCAGGTCCCTTTCTGCCTGGGCACTGTCCAGCCACACCGTCCCCAGCCTGTAGCATTGTGGGTTATTGTGGCCAAAATATGCAGGACTCAGCACTTGGACTTATTAAACTTCATCTTACTGGACTCTCTCCATCCATCCAACCATCCCAGGTCTCTCTGCAGAGCCTTCCTACCCTCCAACAGACCAACACATGCTCCCAGCTCATCTGCAAATTTACTAACAAAAGACTCAATCCCCTCATCCATGTCATCAATAAGAATATTGAAATAGAATGAATATACACAACCTTGTAGCAACTGTTCAGTGTACTAAAAATAAAATGTGGGGTCTGCAAAACTCAAACCACCAGATGTTATTCCTTTGCTACAAAAATGGTTGACACATACTGCCAACCCTAACAGAGTCTTTTCACAAAGTATCAACTCCCATTTATCTTATTGGTGTGTTTAGTCCCACCTGGGTTATGTGAAGCCAGAATTTACAATGGACTGTAAAACTTTTACTGATTTATTTCCTAGTAGTTTTCAACCTGTAGGTCTCAGTGGAAGCATTCTCAGAAAACTTGCCCAAAATATATGAGTCAAAATTCAATAAATACAAAGTGATACCATGTTGCTTGTGACTTCCCACTGACACTGATACCTTCAGTTCCTGAAGTCATAGTATGCCTAACATAAAAGGTAAGATAAAGGAAAACTGTGAAGCTCAGAGAAAATTTCAGGCAAAAGATAAATCTGGTAATTGTTCCTTAATAATGTGAAAACTGCTACTTCAGCAATTAGCACAATTATCCCTTCACAATCTCGTAAAACCCAACCATTTATAGATCCTGAATGAGAGCCTTCCTTTTCAACAGTTCTTAACACCAAATCAAAAGACATTAAGAATTATACCATTCAGATTAATTCCTTCCAGCCTACGGGCTAGAATCTTACTTCCCATTTAATTGAAAGGTAAAAATTTCACATAATCCAGTGTCTCCAGAGGCTTCAACTATGAGGAAAACTAATTCAGAAAGAAATTTAAATCACAAGTGACAACACCAACACATTAAGCAAAGCTTTTCGATTGAAAGGTACAGGAGACTTTGAGACCTCTTTTTAAGGCATAAAATTATAAACATTGAAAGGTATCAAGCCCAAGCCCACAAAGAACTCAGAGAAAATTCCTCTGTTTCATGAAAAAAACAACTTCTACAAAGAGCACAAGAAGAATAAGATTAGTGAATAATTTATAGCCTTTATATTTTTAATAATAATAATAATTTTTAAAGGCCCAACAATGGACCATAGTCCCTACTTTGGTAAAACTCTGAGTTATATTGTTATTTTGGTGTGGTTTTGGTTCAGACATTTCATTCTACAACTGATTCTCAAAATAAAAATTGACTAGTGCAAACAACTACATCAAAGTCTGATGTGTCATGTAGCAATGAATATTTCTGTTGGAAATTTACTTGTTTTCTTTTTAAAGCAGTGGCATATCTAGGTCTTCCTGAGATTAGGAACATTAACTATTCTGGGTGGGATTCCTTTTTGACTTAATGGAATTTCTGTGGTACCTGGGGAATGGAAGAATCTTAACAGCAGTTTCAGTCATAATGAACCTGAAGACTGTAAATAAAAAAATATATTAAAAATTAGGCCTGACAAACTTCGGGTGGTAGCAAGTGTTGGTGGGGAGATGGAGACAATTATTGTATTATCTCAAGAAACTCTCACATTTTCCTGGTTAATATTTTCTGTTATTAAGCACCTCTAACAAAGACAGACTTTCACCTACTTTAGATTCATAATGATTCATGCAAATTTACCTCCTTTTGAGGCAGGGGGTCAAGTGTTTAAGTTCATTCTCTAATAAGTAATATCTGCATAGACTTTTGATGTATAATAATGAGGCATGTTTTGCAGAGACATTAAAAATCAAGGCCCACAAAAATGAACTATTTGTGGACTCAATTCACCAGTGGCATCTAAAATTCGAAACAGAAGGACTGAAAAGATCATAAATGCATTTTCAAATTTTGTATCTACCCTGCCATAGTATGCAGTCTTATTTTTTGTTGTGTGGTTCAGTATTAAAAGAAAAGGATTCAATAGTTCTCACTGTATACAGACAATGAAGGCATGCACCATGAGATCTGTGGCTGTGGCAAAGGATCTCAACATAAATTTGCACACATCTATTTTTTCCAAATATAAGGCTTTCCTGGCAGGCAGTCAATCATGCAGGAATTGCCAACGCTCTGTAGATAGGGCAATTATAATTCTCTGTGCACTGCTGCTAGACCACCTGCACGTTCACATGTGATGGGAGTCAGATTTGAACCCAGCTCTCAGGAGATGAATGCCAACCCACTGCTATTTACTATCAGCCTGTTTTTCATTATCTTTCATTCTAATTAAGAAACACTATTTATAACTACACCTGACAAACAACTAAGCATGGTGGAAGCTAGCAGATGTACCTTGTGCTATAAAACTTGGAGATGAGATATTACATTAATTTTGGGGGTGGGGGATTACGCAAAGCCCATATTTTCATGTATCATGCTTTGCTTTTAGCAATATTGTATTGCAGTTGGAAGTGCATAATGTTTTGTGATTATATGAATAGAGAATGTCAAATTCTGCTTCAGATAATGTTTCCAATATTTTTATTGGAAGTATGCCTGTAGTTTTTTCATTAATTTTATTAGATCCATTAAAATAACATTTTGCTTGAAAAAATATTGGAAAATTAAAATTTAATGATGTCAAATGAGTCATAATTTCTCTATCAAAATTCTCATCAGAAAATAAAAGGAAAAACAGTTCTACCACTTATTTAAAAGAGCAGTTTAGACCACTAACTGCAGTATTACTCCATCTAAAAAAAAAATACGGAAAATTATGAAAGAATATAACAGTTACTCTAGCATGTTTCACTTAATGGAATCTTCTAGGAAATGTTTTAAATTCATCTGCTTCTGACTGGATGATAAACAAATAACCACATGCTGAAGCAATAAAAATAAATTACTCTGGCAACTTCCCTCTGAAGTGTCACCATGTAAAATGGCACATATTTCAAAACATTAAACTTCATCTCCATCTAGGCTCAGGATTGAGTGAATTTTACATGGGAACAAAGCATTTCATATTGGATAAACTAAATAGTGAAGAAATATTTTTATTTCCAGAGGTACACATTTATTTGTTCACTTTACTGGAGCACTGGTGAAAAACAAACTCAGGCTTTTCATAGTTTAATAAAGACAAAAAGAAGATGTCTCTATGGCATCTTTTTGTGATGGTGTGTACAAATTTCAAAATAGTTGAGAATTTAAAACTAATTGCCAATATGAACCATGCTGCAAACATGTATCCCATGAACATTTTTGAAAACATTAGTCATAATTGGATAATTTCCACACTCGCAGCAGGGTAAAGGAAAATGCAAATAATTTAAAACAAAATATCATTTGAGTGCAAAACTGTCTCTCAAGGCTTTCAGAATAATAGGCAATGGCATGAAGATATGCCTTAAATCAATAGCAGGAAACCAGGCAAGAGAAATCTCTAGACAGGAGCTCTACAGGGCAGCATGGAAACAAAGTGGGTACTAAAACAAATATTATTTTTCACATTTTCACAGCAATTGTGCTCCTCATTCCGAATCCCTAGGAAGTGACTGAGTTTTGTGTTCTACTTTCAGCACTGGCATGTAAGAGTTTTGATTCCCCTGACCTCCGAATACAAAGTCACACACTGAGGTCCCTGCCAAGCAGGCTTGTAGTCTGGATCCTTCTGGGATCTCCCGCGGCAGCATCCAAGGCAGGCGGGCAACTTCCCTGACAAGGAGCAGGGCACAGGTGAGGGCTGTGGGCAAAGCGAGCTCTGCAGTCACAAAAGTGACCAGCTCTGCACGTATTTACAGTGAGGTCAATAACTGGGCTCAGGGCTGCTTTTGGACACAGGGAGGTCTGGCACGTACAGTAAGCACAGCTTTTTTCCAAGTAACCAATTCCTTTGGGAATGACACGAATCGGCAGGCCGGTTAGGGTAACACAGATGAAGAGCTCATTTTGTGTTGGGAAGGGAAAAAAACAAACCAAGAAATGAAAGAGGACATTATGTTTTCCATGCAAAATGAAAAGTTTGCTATGTGATTTCATTAACAAAAGACCACGACAATATGTACTCGGGTAAAGAGAACAACTTCTGACCTTGAAATTGCGTGCTAAATAAATTACCTCAGAGCGAAAGTGATGAGTTCTCATGACAGCATCTGGAAGGGAAGCAGAAAGACACACAGGCTCCATCAGCTGCACCTCGCATTTCGCCCCGGCTAAAGGGTTACCCCGCCACTCGCCCTTCGGCGCACACTCCGGGATGGCTCTGGCCCTTCAGGCACAGCCGGCAGCTCCGCCCGGCATTTATATTTAATTCATAGGGAAGAAGTTCGGCATAAAGTTCTGCTGCTCTTTGACAGCCCGGGGAGGGCTGGGGGGTTTCCCAGCCTCTCACCCTCCAGCCGAGGTTTCGCTGAGGGATGGGTGGAGACAAGGCTGCCGCAGTCCTGGGCTCGGCTTGAATTTTCTTTAAAGCCTTTGCCCGGCTAAACCGTGCCACGGCGGCCCTCCGCCGGCAGAAAGCTGGGGATGGGCCGGGGACAGCCCCCGCCGCCCTCAGGGACCGGCAGCATCTCTTACCTCGGCTCCTTGAGCGACCTGAAAAGACGGATTTGATGGGATGCCTCCCTTTCTGGAGCCGGCGGTGCAAGCAGCAGAAGAATAAAATCGTGGCAATGGTCCCCAGCAGCAGCAGGAGCAAGAAGAGGGCGCACTGGATGCTGTAGGGTCTCAGCAGGACCAGGAAAGCCGCGGCAATCATGGCTCAAGCGCCCGGCTGCCCCTGTGCGTGCGCGGGTCTGCGGCGAGCGGCGGGGGGCCGGGCAGCGCCGGGCAGCCTCTCCCCCCGGCAGCGGGGCGGGCATCGCCGCCGGCACCGCGCTGCTGGAGCCGGCAGCCGGCGGGAGGCGGCGGCGCGGGGGAGGAGGAGGAGAAGGAGGAGGAGCGGGATGAGATTCAGGCCGTGACTCAGCAGCCGCCGCCGCGGCGATGGTTGCGGTGGGGCTGCCCCTCCGTGTCCGCACGGCTGCCGGGAGCGGGGAGCGCGGCGGGCAGAGCCGGAGCGCCCGCGGGCAGCGGCGGCGGGGCGGGGCCGGGCCCGCATGGCAGCCGGCGCGGGCACGGCGGGGCGGGGCGGCGGGAGGAGGAGAAGGAGGAAGAAGAAGGAGAAGAAGAAGGTGCCGCCGGTGTCGGGAGGGAGGAAGGAGCACGGAGCGGCGCATCCCGCCGCCGAGGAGACTCGGCCGGTGACATCACCGCTGGAGCTGCTGAGAGAGTCGGAAAATGGCTGCTGCGAGGTACCGGGGGACCCCCGTGGGAAAAGAGGGGATGCGACTGGGGGGCGTGGGGTGTCGGCAGCGGCGAGCGCCCGCGCAGGTCCGTGGGCGAAGGGGGTCGGTGGCGTACCCTGGACCCGAAGCATCGGTCGAGGCCGGTTTCGTGGAGGGGGAAGAGATCGGGAAATGATGGTGAGATCCATCCTGACAAGATGACCAGAGCCCTGAGCAGGTGCGGTGCTGCCCCGTGTCCCCGATGCCGGCATTTAGTGGGCAGCGGGCGGGACGGGGCAGTGTGCGCTGCCCGGCCGTGCCCTGCGCGAAAGGCGGCGGGGCTGCGCTGAGCGGCACCCGCAGGGACCCTCGCCCTGCAGGAAGCTGCAACGCGCTGCAGCCAATGTCAGCCCCGTGCCCTTCCCTCGCCGCCGGCCGCAGCTGGTGCAGCATCCAAATCCTGCCATGTGCAGGTCGCTAATGCAGGCGCTAACAAGAGTTGACCTATGTCGCTGTTTCTACCTCTGTAGTTGTTACTGTGACAGTCCCGACTTTCAGAGACTGTTTCAGAGGTGTTTGGAAATGCAGTTCTAAACTCTTTCACAGACACGCAGAAAAAAATAGCCAGGTACCATTTTGCATTTAGTCATGTTACTGGGGGGGGAAAGGTTCACTCAAGGTAAAACTCATGTGCTTTTCATGTATCTTTGATGTGAGCACATAAATCTGTAGAACATTTCCAAAACTTCATAGAAATAATTAAAATCTCTGTTTAAATATTGGAGAAACACTGAAATGTTACTACTTTATTTGACTGACATGAAGCTGCAGAAAAGCATATGTGTAAATTTAAGTTAAACAAAAAAATATGCAAGTTGGAAAGACAAAGAAGGAAATGTGTCTATGGTAGCTTAAATAAGAACAGGGAAAATAATCTTTGGAAATAGTAAAATTAATTTATCACTGGGCTAATAACATTATAACATTGTATTGTACCCTTAAGGTCAATAACATTGTAACACTTTACTGTACCCTTATGGCTAAGGAAATCTGTTATCATCAAAAGATGCTCATGATGGGGGGGGGGGGGGGTAAGTAAAAAAAGAAGAAAAAATTGGGGTTTAGGTCTATAATAATTTATTCCAGGAATTTTCTATCATTTCATTCTATACACCAACAGAGCGAGCCAAAATAGTCTGTCCTATTACTTTGTAAAATGGAAAGTTGCTACATTGCAGCCATGGTTTCAAAGCTTTCCCTCACTGCCTGGAAACTGCCAAATGCTGTAAGGTTGTGTTGCATCACGTGGTGCAATATTGAAATCTTTCCTAATACCGCAGTACACTGCAGTAGAATGGTTCTAATGCAGATTACCTGGAGATTATTCAGACGGTCCAAGTTACCTCACTGAAACATGAAGGAAATTGGTGTGATCCTCCTGGCATCGTGCTGCAGTGCCACGCTGCAGGATATTGCAGGAGCAGGAAACTTTTGGACACCTTTAGCTCTGCACTGATTTATTGTTTCAGAGTGGGATGATAGAGCGAAAGTAGCACAGCAATGATTGTACGATAAATCACAGTGAACTGAGGGGGAGCGGTTCTTTTCACATTGTTCTCAGGTAACAGTGTGTAGAAATCATCTGACAAAGCTCTAGTGAAATCTTTTTAGTTTAAGGATTATAGCTTTTCCCTTCTAAGAGTCAGAGCTCACTGGTGTCTTGAGGATAATGTTTTTCCAAAAGGATATAATAAATTTCATGACAGCTGCTTAATTTTTTTTTTTTTTTTCAAATGTGAGAGTACAGTTTAGTGCAAGAAATGCTGACATGCATGATTTTTCAGAGCTGATGCTCCAGGCTTTTGAGTCAACTATCTCACATGGACACCAAATTGCTGCTCTAGCTTTCTTTATATTCATTACTGCTGTGCTTGATAAATACTGCAGGGTATGCAAGTGTGGTTAGAATATAACTTTCATGGCAAATAAAGTTTAAACTGAAGTTACTACACATTAAAAATAAGCAAATTATATGTGGGTAGATTTTTTTCCCCCCAAACAGTAATAAAGAGAATTTAAGAGAAGTTGTATATGTATCACACTTTTAATCTAAGATTCTTTACAGAATGTTTTTTAGGGGACTTTTCCTAAATCTTAAGGATGATAAACAGAGAAGACAAAAGAAATGAAGACAGAAGGTTAAAACAAAACCTCTCATCTGAGATTTGACCTCAGAAGGGAAATCCTGGAAGGAAAGCCATTGCAGAGAAGAAATAAAAGAAGGTAACAAAGCCTTGAGACTAACTGTGATCACAGGGACCAGAGCTGGAGGGGAGGTCAGAAGCTGTTGAAAAGTGGAATTAAGTGTTTTAAAATCTAATAAGGCAGTTATTGATTCTGCAATAAGTAGGGGTCCTGCTGCCATTTCAGAGTACATATGAGTGCACTTTTGCAAAGTTGTGAGCAGGTGGGATGTCGGGTCCTGCAGATGCTTGTTTTGGTGGGGACCACAGGCAAACAGGGCAGTGACAAAGTCACTGGCATAGGTGAAGCTTCGGGAAGCAGCCTTTCACTTGATCAATTCTGAGGGAAGAGATGGTGATAATTATTTCATCAGTGGGATCAAAAAGGGAAGTTCTACCTCAGAGAACCCACAGAGAAGAGGCAGAAGAGGTGATCAGTAAATATTTAGAAGTGGAAAGGTACAGGAGGGTGTTTCTGTGGTTGCAGTTACTCTTGAATGCAGTTTACCTATTTTTCCCAAGTTCCAAGAGGCAGGGAAACAACATGGAAATTGTGTCAAACTCCTGCAGTTTAATGTAAGAGTTGCATGTGCTGTAGCAGCAGCAGCCCTCCTGCAGAGAGAAAAGGTAATTTTGACCTCAAATATTCTTTCAGCTTGTCTCTAATGACAGCCTGTTCTGACTTAGAATCTTGCCCAGCAAGGCTGAAGAAGGAGATCCTTTCTCCCTTACCCTTGTCCTGTTTGGAGAATTGCAGTACAATCTCTGGGCCAGTGCATATTCCTTGATAATTTAGGTGATGTTCAGCCACACCTATTAAAGGAAACTAAAAATTCTAGCTGAGTGCCATAGGTTAGACTGACAGGCAAAAAAAAAAAAAAAAAAAAAGGCAAAAAGAAAATATGATGGCATTTTGAGTGGAGAAACCTTGCCTTCAGAGGTCTGCTGCCCTCCCCCAGTGTGAGCCATGGGATTCAAGGGCACTGCACAGCTCTGTGAAGGCACCTCTGCTCCTGCAGACTGAGGCCTTGTAGACCTCATTTGGCAGATCTAAGAGTCCCTGTATCAGTGAACTGAGGGGGAAAAGGTCACAGGCTGCATCTGGTGATGTGGCATAAGAATTCGAGACGATGCATGAAATTATTTCAGAACAGTAGCTGAGTGAGTGCAAGGGTAAGATCATCTCTTTTCACTGGTATGTAGGTATGCTTTAAGGACTATGTTTGTACTAATTAATTATAATTGAGTGAAATAGTCTGCCTAAATGACTACTTAACTGGTTAGAAGGGTTCTCCAACCATCTAATACTTTCTAACAAAATATTTGGGTTTTTCCTCATCAAACAAGAACCAAAGTAAATATAGTCAAAACCAAAGAGGCAAGCAAATAAAATACAGAAGACATAGTGTCTGAATGTCATAAACTTCTTTTGATGAAATAATTGACTTTCCCCCTCAATATTCTAGATTACATAATGCCATCAGTGCTACACTAGCAGCTTAAACATACCATAGGAAATGTTGTGAAAGTTTCTGGTAGATGATTAAATCTTATAAAACACTTCCTTCAGTTGAAAGAATACTGTTTGCTGGCTTGATATAGGCAACCGATTTTAGAAAGAATTGTCATGTCATATGTTCTAAATTCAGCAGGGCTATTACAAATCTTCATTCTGCAAAACTTGCTAAACTGTTTACTCCATACAGTGCTTCATATGGTTAAAAGGCATGCTAACAGTAGTTAATTCTCACAAAATCTTTGAAATTAGGTAACGTGTACTGTTATTTCAGATTCATTGCAAAGACAAGGTGAACTATAAATTTAAAGGCTGTATGATTTACCCAAGACCAAACTCTGTGATTCCAGTGCTACAGACTGAACCTCTCCATGGCTGGAACATTTTGCCACTTACATGTCATAGGTGACCATGTAAAACCAAATTCTTGTCAGCTTTATATATGCAGAGGTAATTGTCCTTATTTTTTGGGCTCCTCAGCTCAAACAACTTGCATATTTAAATTCCCTCCATTTATTATACTGAATATAAATCAAATGGCAAATGAGCCATACAGTTGTACACTCATGGCTTAGCGTATTGCTGGAAAAATGCTTGCAGGAATCCTGTAGGCATAAATTGACTTTACAGACAGAGAGGCTGTTCTTGAGCCTAGATGGAAATATACTGCTGAAGCTCCTATGGCACTTTTTTTTTTTTTTATTACAGCAGCAGTGTGCCCCTTTGTCCTTGGTTGAAATTTGCTCTGTATTCATTTTTGGCAGTGTTTAGAGTAGCAGTTGTCAATCTGTATGTGGCCTTACATCCCAGAGGGAATTGCACTTCATTAGTATTTTTATTATACAATGGAAAGTTGTTTAAGGATTATTTCAGACTGATATACAACACTGGTCCTTCCACTTTTATATTACTTCATAAAGTTGGGTTGAACAAATACAGAAAAAAGATATTTAGATGAAGGGAAAATTAGATCTAGTAAGTTTTGAGGTTTTTATTCTTGCAGGGAAGATGCATTGCTGTCAATTCTCTGAAGTGTATGCAGAATTACTCTTAGTTGAAGTAATATTCCCTGGAGTAAGAGGACAATGTGTATGTCTCTTTTTCTAGTTCATGACCTCTAATAATAATGCAGATTTTTTTTTTCCGCTCCTACCTATCAAAATGTTGCAAAACCAGAGAAACTGGGGAAGAGATTTGGAGTAAAAGAGCAAGCACTTTGAGTATTAATCAGGCATGACTTCTCTTCCATGATCACTCACCTATGACAGCCAGTAAAGACACAGAAGTAGAGATAGTAAAGATGCTGCTAAGTTATTAAATAGTGACCAAAAATCAAGCCTGGAATTTTCTATCTGCTGTTTCACGTCTTTCCTTTTAAGAGTTAAAGGGAAAATGCCACCAACAGTAATGCTTTGGGGTAGAATGAAAGATATAATTTCTACTACCTTATAAAAAGAATAATATGCATCCTCTTATAACTTCTCATATCAGGTTATCAGAGAGTTTGTTTGAATAAGTCCAATTTGAAAGTATATCTGATATATTTTCAGCCTTTTAGGAAAAGTTTATTTGACTGCTTGGGCTGTTGCATGGAGCAAATGCACAATTATTGCACCTCAACATAGATTTGCATGTGATCAAACTTTCTCTAATGATCCCATAAACATCTTTAGACAAGATACGTGATGCATCACTGTTCTTAAATGTTTATAATTTGTTTATAATTTCTTAAAATGGATTGCATTGGATTACCCAAGCCAGGTCATAATGAGCACAGCCAAGAGTTTGACTTTACAGAGCTACGTTGACTGTTTCTTCTTCCAGGCTACTTCTTGCTTCTAAGTGTTTGAATATATTAGCCTGCATGGAAAGAGCTTTCTTGGGATTATTCAAACTTCTGTGGCATAGGTATTTCATCCAGTTCAATAGAGATTTATTTCTTGGTCTGTATATTAATATATTTTGTTGCACATGGCATTTAGAAACAAGCAAATTGGAGTATTAGTTCTCCATCTGTCAGCTGTGAAATAGTTATTTAATAAAGATACTAATCTGTCATGTAGAATTAGCTTCCTGCATCTTACTTGGCATCTTGCTATCTTAATGTGAATCTTTCACTGAGTATGGGATTAAAATACAGATAAATAAACTTACATGGTTTATAGGCATATGAGATATCTAGGCTCCTATTTAAACTCATGTAAATCATCTAGGCTCAGAGAATAATGCATTTCCCTGAAATGTGTTTAGTGCCATTTGAGGGGCCTGGAGGTAGTAACCACCATTGTAAGCCCAGAAGAGGGTCCAAGCCCTGTGGGAAGTCTGTTCCCATCAGAAGAGGCAGCTGGAGGCCTGGCATAGTAACTTATGGTATCTAAGATTGCACCATGCATTTATTTTTAGGCTACTGAATTGAGCCCTACAGCACTTCCCTCCAGGAAGCTTTAGCTGTGTTCAGTAGGGGCTTCACACTTATGACTGTTGGAGCTGCTCAAGGCTGAGACATCTCCAAAAGGATGACAATTGTGATAAAAAACTCTGTGGGAGATTTGTACTTCTAGAGTAGCAGCTGAAGGCCAAGCCAATAACAGTGCTAGGCACCTGCTTAGAAAGCCAAATTGCCCCCTGCATCTCCAGTGATTACAGCAATAACTTAAGACACCTGGTGCACCAGTGACACCTAAATGCAAGCATCTTAATCTAGAATCCTGTACTGAAAACTCAGTAATTATGCTAGCTTATCTTGAAATCCATTAAAATTAATGCCATGTTTCACTGATAGTTGAATAAATTATTGCTTAGAACAAAAGTTTAGTACTTCCAGAAGTATTAAATATGCCTGCTTAAAAATTAATTATTCAGCCTTTCCTATCACTCAATTTAACAAATAAAATTAATTTTTTGTTGCAAAAATCAGAGCTTTTCCAATAGATTTCTTCAAGCTTTTGATTTAAGCCACAGTTCTACAAAGGACTTTGGCATTTTAAGTATTAATATATACTTAAATAATATACTTACATAGAACTCCTAAGTTCTATTTTATATATATATATATATATATATATATATATATATAACTGTTGATAAAATGTGGAAAGAGGGCACTATTGTGAAAAATAAGAATGGCTTCATTAATTCCTTGGGTTATTCAACAGATTTTAGAATGTGGTACAAGGTTTGCAGCAAGTTCTCTGTGTAATCCTGTGAGTTGTAAATGCTGCTGAGGCTTTAAAGTCAAGGAGGCCATCTGGGTAAATAAGGCCAGAGCTGCTGCTTTACCATGAATAGCATCACTTCTTAGAAATGTGTCTCAGGTTATTTCACAGGGAGTCACACCAGGATAGTGATCTGCAGTGAGGAAGTGACCTCTTGAATATCAGGAATAAAATCATAGAGTTTTATCCTTCCTGTGAAAGACAAGTGGGTTAATTTCTGTGCATTTATACTCTTAAGAGTTGCAGTAGTGCTCTGATAGATGCTCCCCCAGATTCCTAGCTGAATTTGCAACACAGCAATACTGATGA